AATAAGCTCCATAACTCTACCCACCTCTGCTCGTTCAACAGGCGCAGTTGCACTTGGGATCCATGCTGGGGTATAGCCGGAGGATCAGCCGTGAGTCGCGATGCAACTGGAAGCATTATTAGTTAAAAATAAGATTCTGATGTATGCCCATATAGGCAAAACCGATCGGTTGGGTTGGAACGAAGTTTGCCACTCCGGAAAGAGCGCAGCGCTTTAATGCAAAACAATAGGGAAAACGAAAGAACTGCGAAAGAGGTAAGGGAGCACCCGGGCCGTGCATTCGAAGGGTAGCATGCTAAAAAGGGAAAGAGAACTCTGCCCTCTTCAACATTTTGCCATGTTACCACGATGATGATAATCTGTTGACAGAAAGTGTCACACACACGCACACGCAAACAAATCGAGTATTCCCCTTAGCTAGGGAGGATCCCTTTGAACGAATGGCTAAGAGTCACACTAAATCTAAGAGTCATTACCGTCATTATTCTGGTTAAACAACGCGTCAAACCCTGAGTAATCTGAAACTTAAAACAATGAAAGTAAAGCAAAATGTTAGTTAGGATTCTAACAAAGTTACTTACCGCGTGCTGCCGTGCTGTGCTTTGTACTGCGTCGAAAGAGAGCCACTGAAATAAGCTCCAAAATGAAATGTGTTATCACCAAATTCAAGACAATTTTGAAGATTCGTGAAACTTCATCAGAATTGTGTCATTCCAGTCATGTACTACAAATCAAAGATATAAGAGAGCTAAGGAACTTTGCACTGCATGCCTATGCATTAAAAAATCCAGGCTTTTACGAATGTAGTGATGATAACGTTTTGCCTGCAGTTATTCTTTAGATACTAAAACGTAACAGACAACTCTGGAATCGGGGTAAAAAGAGCTGTTCTCTGTAAAATCTTTTATCAAAATACCAAATGAAATTATCGAATTTGGTCTTATTGGCGAAACTCAAGGGGTTGACAAGGAATATCTCTGAAAGGAGGTTGCTATAGGAATTATAGGTTTATTCACTTCAAATAATTCAGTCGATTGCAGTTGGAATAAAAAGGTCAAAGAATCAGAAATTAAGCTTATTCAATTTTCTAAAGTAAAAGTTGATTTGATAACAATGGACAATCGCAAAACCACTTGCAATCTCTTATCGAAAATGGTTATGACAAAAAAAAACAACACTATTTTCTAGAATTTACACTTACATTTTTCTAAGTCATACGTTAATCAGAATGAAACTAGGTTTATCGGGGAAATTTATGAATTGGCAAGACCGTTTAAGTCCAGGTTGTACGTTGGAATCTCAGCATAAACATTATAAACACACTTACAATTCTTGCATTTACACTTCTTAATCAGAGTGACATCACGGATATCCTCGTGACATTGTTTGCACCAGAAGAATGCCCTAAAATTGAGGACATAATGCCTAAATCTATTTTAAAGATAAGAGTTAACCTGAGGTTAGTGGAATTAATACGGATAAATAGAGACAGGACAAATAACAACTATCAATAACAATGTAGGTGACGTATTCTTGTAATCTTTTCTGTGAATTAAAGAATTCTTTTTCTTGTAGTACGGAATTTCAATGTTATTCTGAAATAAATGCTGTTTCTGAAAAACGAATTATTTTCTAATTGTGGGGGAAACTACAATTCCTCGGGTTTTTTCCTTATGTTGATTCAAGAAACTGAAAAGCTGACCGTTTTACTTCGTCCGCGCTTTGAGCAATAAAGAATCCTTGAGTCTGAGGTTGGATCACACACGATGGGCCAGGATTAATAGCGATGTTGCACTCACGGTTCTCCTCATCTTTCAGCTCAATTGCGAGCAGCAAAAGCCCAAGCCGAGTGAAGAGGAGACTGAAATATTCGTCAAAGTACTTACTGCTACGTATGGGACGAGCCACGGCAATAGCAATGAGGAGTTATAGGATTAGTTGCTGGCCATATAGCTTTGGTTAGTCTTAACACGCATTCAGCTTACTCGGCCGCATCTGGAAATGTCATCCCAACGAATGAGTGCGAGAGGGTGTCGGTGTACATTTCCATACCTGCCCCGCACAGGTACAGATTCAGCCAATCGGGAGTATCTCGTGACTAAACTGATTTTACTCATTCTCTTCTTTGTAATTAAGAAGAGATGTGAGAAAGAGAGTATGTTCCAAAGAATAGCGAGAACG